TCAGCAGAGGTGGTTATCAGCGGCAAGTTCCATCTCAGAAGGTAAAATTGGGAAATATAGTCTCCATATAACACACACTTAGAAACGAACACAAATAATCCTCCGACATACAAAGCCATTCCTGTTTGCAATATATTGCAAGGCTTCAAACACTTTTTTTACAAGGCTTTATTTTTTTCTAAATTTCTTTATTATAATCATAATAAAATTACTTCGGTAATAAGAAAGGCAACCATCGTGCCAGAGTAATACCTTCCCATATTAAAATTTGCTGTAGTTTCTACACTGTGTTTAATCCAAATGCATCTGGTCTATCGTGTGGACAATACAAAAGAATTAAATGTTTCTCAAGTGTCTTCCAGGGGTAGACTGACCCAGAATCAAATTTGGGGCAAGGGTACTTGACGGGACATGACTTAAGAGATGATGTCTGACGCGGGAACAGTAGGAGAAACTCGCATTAACTGCCTCTGGTTTCATCACTTGTTGTCTTTGGGCCTACTTATAATTTGAGATTGGAGATTTGTTTACTTTTTAAATATTTAGCTGTCCTGGAGCCAAATTTTGGAAAGGACTCCTAATGTAAAAGAGGATTTGCCTGGGGAACACAGCAATCTTAATTACTGTCATTACAAAGCACTGGGCTACAGTGACCTCTGTGTAAACATTAGCACCAAAAAGTGGACTTAGCACACATGCATAACCTTATATTAACAATTATTTTACAATGTAACTCACATTTAGAAATTATTTTAAATACACACAAATTGTAAAAGTGAATTAAAGTCATAGCTCTCAGCACAGTGCTTATAAAGTTCTCCCGCACTGTGCTTGTGACTTGTCATAGTTCTCATTCTAGTTTCTGGCCAGGAGTATTGATTCATGAGTTGACTATGATAGAAGTTGTAAGGAAAACACAGGCTAAGCTTAAAACTCAAAGAATGACTCTTCTCTATGCAAAACACAACAGCAATAAAACCCCAAAAACCACCAAAAAAAGCAGTGCAGCGGGCCAATTTCATAAGATACGATGGATCATTTTCCTCTAGGATGTCTCATAAGTTTGTCTCATGCAAGATTCACTTCCTGCACACTTGGACATTCTGAAGAAGAAACAACATGCACGGTTTGAAGAGGAACCCACTGTGCTGAAGTTCACCTGAGATCCTGAGGCGTGTCGATGGAGGGTGGCTTATAAACTAAGTCCCATGACAGATTTTTAAGTCATTCTAAAATGTTCCACCGGATATGGGAAGGCAGAAACTGATCATGAACATCATTGGAACCAAGCACAGGGCTTGGTGAGTGAAAAGCACATAATAAGCATTTGCTAAATGAATGACTGCCTAAATACGTTGTCAATAAATTAGCCTTCAATTGTGAAATAATGTATATATCAAAAGGGGAGCTGCTTTCTCTACCTTCTTCTCTGATTTTCCTCATTCATTCCTGATTCCCATTTTTTCCCTTTTTCTTTTTAAATGTATTTTTTATTGATTTTTTACAGAGAGGAAGGGAGAGGGACAGAGAGTTAGAAACATCGATGAGAGAGAAACATCGATCAGCTGCCTCCTGCACACCCCCTACTGGGGATGTGCCCGCAACCAAGGTACATGCCCTTGACCGGAATCGAACCTGGGACCTTCGAGTCTGCAGGCTGATGCTCTATCCACTGAGCAAAACCGGTTTTGGCCTGATTCCCATTTTTTTTTTTTTTCAACTAAAGCAAACGAAGAGGAATAGTTTTCTGATGATACCTGTCTCCAGAGCCCTGTGACGGGGCCTTCAAGACTACGCCTGAGCTTGATAGTGAACAAGAGTCATCCTTTGATAATGTGATTGGAGCCTGTGCAATGGAGCTGTTGAAGCTTGTAGTCAGAGGAGGTGGGTGGGGCAGTGAAACTGACCACATGGAAAAAGCCTGCAGGATTGGGAAAGCTTTAGGGACCGTCCATGTACAACCCTGCCCAAAAGCATTTGGATCTTCGGTGCCAAGGTGGGCAGGATCTTGAGAGAGTGGGGCTGGGGAGGTCACGGAGTTAATGCTAAGTAAACAGAAGAAAACAAAGTTTCATTCCTCTCCATGCCACACACATAGGCGCCCATCCTTGTCCTCTCTCCCCAGGGAAGCCTGTAGGCCCATCCCATGTTGGGCAAAGCATTTGAGCGAGGAGTAGACACACAGGCTGGTGAGTGGACACTTGGTTATCTCTTGGGAGAAGCACAAGTGACTTCTAGTGAGCTCCCCCTGAGTACTGAGTAAGCAGCGTGTCAAAGCAATTCTGAAAATTCCTTGTAAGTCCTAATGGAACAAGGCACTGGTGAGAAATTCTGAATCTAGTCCTCAAATCCCTACCTAGCCTTCTGGAGGATTGTAAGGTACAAACCTAGGACATGTTGCCTTGCGTCACCCTGAACATAAAGCATGCCATTTCACACAAATGTACAAATGTACAAATGTGGGGGGGGGGGGGTAAGAAACAAACCCCTGAAAATACCTAATCCACAGCTGCTGTTCAGTATTAAAGTTTGTGAGCCCTACTGGGGCCACTGATTACAGGTTTTCCTGATGTTCCCCCTTTAAGTTCAACGAATCTCCTTCCAGATTTGGCCTAGTACCTCTGTTTACCTGCACCCCCAGTCCTCCACCCAAACCCTGCACAAGGGTTGTCATTGTGTTAGCGTCATGTTCCCCAGAAGCCATTTGGGAGAAGTTGCAATGGCTCAGAAGGCAATTACAGATCTGCCTCAAGCTCTACACACAGAGTCACCTGTACTCCTGGCACTTTCCCAGGGACAGACACCCTGCGGGTGACCTAACTCAGTTTGCTTTGCAGAGAAACCCGAAACTTCTGGAAGAAGAGTTCTCCCCCCTCGGAAAGAAATACCACGTGCAAACACAGCTAAGTGGCCTCTCTTTGTCTCCTCTTGTCCTGCATCTTCTGAAGGGAGATCCTGCATCTTCTGAAGGTTGTCATCTCCCTTCAGAAGATGGAGGATGAGTGCTGGGTAGGTCCCAGACTTCTCCCCTGAAGGCAGAGTAAAGTCTGTCCATGGAGCTAAATCACGGTGTTCAAAGTCTAATGGCAAGAGAAACTGCTCATCATAAACATTGACAGGAGGTCAAGGACTTGAAAGACATGAAATGGGGAGCAGTTCCCCTTTTCTTCTTCTTTTTTTTCCCTTATGCTTCTTTCTTTCTTATGCTTTCTTTTCCCACCTTGTGCTTTTAAGGAGGGCAGTCATGGGATGCACAGCTTGTTCATAATAATAATGTTGCTTTTTTTTCTGAAGGAGGAATACACAAGAAATTTGAATATACAAAGGGGACTAAAAAGCTCCAGAGTGTCCATGTTAATACCTTTGAAAAACAAAAGGACAGCGCCCCTCGTCCAACTCCAAAAAAAAAAACAAAAAAAAAAACGCCCCAGTGGGAAAAGGGAAGAGCTGACGTTTCAGTAAGAGAAGTGGCAGGCCTTGTTTTTAAAGGGGGGAAGAGGGAGGTGGAGTAATACCCTTCAGCACTGGCTATGTCAGAGGCAGCCCAGAGCCCAGAGGAAACACGGAGGTGAAAGAGCAAAGACTCCTTGCAGGAAGAGTTGAAACCAACAAGAAAAAAAGTTTTATTTTGAAAACACAGTCTTTAAAGATAAATTTGGCTTCCATTTTCCATATCCAGGCGCATCCGACGAGATACAAAGACGAACGAAAACAACGACACCGAGACCCACGACATGCTGTACAGAGCTCTAAAATGAGCTGTGCATTATCTACAAGGAACTCGCGTATGCTCTGTGTGAGGGGATGGACGGACGTGTGTGGCTGTCTACAGTTCTCAGTCCTCCCGAAGCTGGGTTAACGCCCTGGAGCTGCAGGTGCGGCCGCAGCAAGGGCAGAGCTGGGGTCAGTGAAGGGTGGGGGGGTGGGGTCCCCGGGTGGGGGGAGGTGTGGAGGGGTGTCCGGGGAGGGGAGCGGAGGGGGACAGATCCTGGGCTTCTCTAGAAGTCCTGCCGCGGGGTGTGAGTCAGGCTGTGCCGCCGCAGATCACAGTTTCGCCTGAACACTTTGCCGCACTGCTCGCAGCTGTAGGGCTTGATGTCTGTATGGGTGAGAAGGTGAGTTTTCAGATTACTTCTCTGATTAAAGGTTCTTCCACATGTGGGGCATTTGTGTGGAGATTCCTGTGCAGATGTGAAGCAAGCAAAGGGATTAATCCTTCGCACCACCACCTCACCCCTCGCAATAGTCCTCTGTCTTCTCGGTATCACATAACACACACGCGCGCGCGGCCACCAAAGGGGGCACTTGCAGGAACAAATCTCCTCTCCTAATCCCCCCGATCGCTAACACACACGCACAGGCACACACCGGACCGATGACACCGATAACGGCGCTGGCCACCGCGGTGGGCTCTGTGATTGCCAGCTCTTTACATTTCATCACCATGTCATGGGCAGGAAAAGGGGGAAGGAAAAAGCCTAATCCTCTCTGAAGGAACGGCATTCTCCTGGGTAATAAGTCTCCTCTTTGCTGGAAAATTAAACTATTCCTCAATGTTCCGACCACTACAAATTATGAGGCCCCTGGGAAGGAGAGCGCATATGGGATTTCACCGTGCCTCCATTATCAAAATTACCTTTATTTCCTCCCAAACACGAAAGCCTTACAGGCAGGGCAGATCGGATGGGGGGGGGGATAATTCTAGTATTAGGAGGTACAATAAAGAGAGTGACCTGTTCTTTAAGAAAATATACCACTGTTTTATGTTAAATAGGATTCATTTTATGTATAAAAAAAAACCCCGGGAGTATTGCTTTTCCCACCTAGAAAAATAATCTAAATAGAGGGTTTTTTTTAAGAGGAAGATTGGGCCATGGAACACCTTTTGTAGAGCAAACACGATTTAAAAAAAAAAAAAAAAAAAAAAAACAAAAAAAAAAACGGAACCAGTCACTGTTTTTGCATTTGTTTGTTTTTTTTTAACAAGAAAATAAACTTACCTGCATGTGTAAAGTTTTGTGAACGGCTAGAGTTCTAGACTGACAAAATCCTTTCCCACACTCCTGACACTTGAAGGGCTTTTCTTTGGAATGAATATACCTGAAAATCAATATAAGGTTTCATTGAAATGGCTTTCCCACCACAGGGGGGAGATTCTTTTGACAACGACTGAACTCATGAAAGGGCGGAAGAAACAGGATTGCCCTTACGTATATTTTTAGGTTGTATTGCCCCCACCCCCTGTGTAATTCTGTGTATGGTTAACCCCAACTAACAGAAGCTTCCAAACATACACTGGATGTCGGTGTATCTACACTTGATCGCCCTCTCTGGCATCTTCTGGAGCTCGAAACCCTGCCGAGTAAGCCCTTCTTGGCCTCCACGATTTCACCAGGGATTTAAATGGGCCAAATCGAGATGTAAGGCAAGGGGGACAGAGGGGGCTGGCTTCAGCGAATCCCCTACCAGCCACGGGAGATCATTGGTACTCAAGTCCCACCCTGGGTAACCAACAGAGAGCGGAGTCCCAAGAGAGATCCCCCACCCCGCTCCTGGGAAGTTTTTACCGGATGAAAACATTTACGTGTATAGTATTTCTCCCATTGCCTTTGGCTAACGCAGACTTTAAGGTCCTGGGGGCAGGGTAAGGGGGAAAGGGGTGTACCTGTGTCTAAATTCAGGGATCTGCAAATAAATGTAAAAGGAAGATCCTGGCAGCGTTAGGCTCTGGAGAGCACGCTGAGGAGGGGGCTGGAGGTAGGGAAGGGAGGGAACCCAGCTGGGGGTGGCCCGAGGAGATAATCCAGAAATTGTCTCCAGGCTGCCACTGTGGGATTTGGGGTCCCTAGGCTTTACCTGCCTCCCCACCCCAAGGGCGACCTGGAGGAAACGGAGAAACCAATCACAGCACCAAAACCAACCCCCCAGGTTTTAGCTGCCAAAACAGGGAGGGGGGGAGGACCCCCGGCAGGCATCCCAGACTAGAACGCAGCAAAGGTCAGTGGGGGAACAAGGTAACCACTGGCGGGCTGCTGTGGCCTTTTGGGACACATTCTAGTCCCCAGGGGCTTCCCCAGGGCTGGGGGGGGGGGGGGGGCTTTGGCGTTGGGCAGGAATTCGCCCCACCTCACCTGTGATCCCGCAGGTGGTCCTGCCTCCGGAAGGCCTTGTGGCAGATGTCGCACGTGTAGGGCCGCTCGTCCGTGTGGGTCCTCTCGTGGATGAGCAGGTTGTAGGACTTGGTAAAGTGTCTGCCGCAGAACTTGCAGATAAACTCCTTTTTCGTCTTGGAGGGCAGCCTCCCCCGGGAGGGCTTCCTGTCCGGAGTCAATTTGCTGAGGCCCGAGATGGGGCTGCCCAGCCCGGGGCTCAGCTTGGCCAGCTCGCCCACCTTCGGGGGGTCCTCCTGCGTGGCGGCCACGGCCAGGTTGGCGAAGTCAAAGCGGGGCCGGTCCTTGTGCAGGGCCGGCAGCACGTGGGCGATGGCCCCCTGCTTGGGGTGGAAGAGGTGGGTGGCGAAGGGCAGCGCCTGGAAGGGGAAGCGCGCGTCCACGAGGCCCTGCGCCGCCGCCATCTCGCTGAGGGTGGAGCGGGCGAGCTCGTGCACGTTGGGGTAGCCCAGCGTCCAGTGGTTCATGTGCATGGTCTGCATGGCGCTGAGCCCGTACAGGCCCTGCAGGTGGTCCACGGCGGCGGGGAAGGTGTTCACGGCCTGCAGGAACGAGTAGTTGGTGAGCTGCAGCGACGGGTGGAGCGGGATGGGCGCCGGCAGGGCCTTGCTCCCCATGGTCCGGGCTTCCTCCGGGGGGCGCCCCTTTCTTCCAGGACTCAGAGAGGAGGCGGCGGCGGGTGGGGGGTGTGGGGCTCCCGTGGACACCCAGAGAGACGACAGCAGAGGAGACACCCTAAAAAATGACAGGGAGAGAGAGGAGAGAGAGAGAAGGGCAGAGTCGTGATTGTTATCCAAAACCAGCTCGGTCTGAACTTTGGCGCAGGCGCGAGTCACCACACCTTCCTCCTCCCAAGGCCTCCTCCTCCCCACCCTCCTCCTCCCGCGCCCTTGTGGCCCGGCCAGGGCACCAGGCCCCTCCCCTCCCCCCCAGAAAGGCCCCCTGGGAGCTGGGTACCCCCAGGAAGGCCGGGCTCCTGCAGGGATGGGGCTGGAGACGCAGGTCCGGGGGGAGAAGGGAAGGGGGCAGGGGCTCTCCAGCAGAGGCAGCTCCCGGGCCAGCCGGCGGCCCACCTCACCCTGTCGATCGAAGCTCAGTCACCCCGACACCCCTCCATGCCAACACCACGCAGGCCGCCCCGGCTGAGCCCCAGGCGACGGGCTGCGGGTCCCGCTCTGCTCAGCCCCGTGCGCCCCGCACTTCGGGGGCCCCGGGTGCCCTGGTGCCGGGAGCGCAGCCGGGGGTGCTCCGCGCTCACGGGGGGGGGGGGGCAGCCCCCCTCGCAGAGGCCCGATGTGCCCCGCGCTGACCTCGGAGGTTTCCTTTTTCCTTCCTCTGCCTCCGTCCCATTCATCAGCGGTGACGGGGCCGCAGGAAAGAAAAGTGACACCTCCGGGGCCGCCGCGTTCCACCAGGAATCGCCTCCTCCTCCTTCCCAGGGCCTTCCACTCCCACCCCCCACCACGATCCCTTCCAGATGGCTCGGCTCCCCGGGAGAGGTTGGGTGGGGGGCGCGGAGAGAATGTCCCTGAGGCCCGAAACCCTTCTCCCGGGTGCAGCGCCCAGCTCCAGGGCGGCTGGAGCGGCTTCCCGCCTCTGAGACCTCGGGGGAGTGGAGGGTGGAGAGAGGGCTCCCTGGGGAGGGGAGAGAAAAGGAGGGAGCAACAGGGGAGCCGCAGCGGTGGGTCCTGGCGGCTTGTGTCTCCTCCTGGAGGTTTGTTTCTCCTCCTGGAGGCGGGTGCTCAGGGCTCCCACCACCTGGGCGAGGGCCGAGGTCTGCGGCCTGGGCCCAGGCAGGCGGGCGCTCTGCTCTCCCTGCGCCCCCAATGGCAACCTGGAGGTCTGCTTTCCCATCCAGGGGCCCAGGAGAACCTCGCAGCAGCAGCAGCCGGCCTTCAGGGTGGGCCCCCAGGCTCCCACGGCCTGCCCCTTCCCAGCCCCGGGTTCCGTGGAACCGCACCTTGTCCCCCAGGGCCCCGCAGGGGAGCGGGCGCCCGGCTGGGCCATCACCCCGGCCGCCTGGCTGTTGAAACCAGCCAGCGGGAAGGTGGGAGAGTTGGTTTAGCTTCCCCTCTCCACCCACCCGTTTCTTTAGTGGGTGGCCCAGGCCCGTGGCTCGGAGTGGGGGCTGCGCCAAGGGCACCGCAGCGCTCTGGCCCACACCTTCCTCCTCTCCCTCCTCCTCCGCTGGGAAAGGCTCAGGGAGACAGGGATTTATTAATGAACCGCTTCTGCCCAGTGGTATGCGGTCTGGGAGGTCAGGCCCGGAGTTAATGAGAGGTGTGGAACCCTCAGAGGGTCTCAGTCAGACCATTCAACGGAAACCGTACAAACCTCCCCTCGGAATAAACTTTCCCACCGCAAATCACAATTCATTTTTGTTTGGTGGCAACCCCTCCAGCCCTCCTCTCCTAGGGAAGATTAGGAAAAGGATTTCTACTCACATCCCAGGTGACCTATCTGATTAGTCCCTCATCCATGAAAATAAGCTGCACCTTTATTTCCTCCTTCTTGCATAATGAGCGTCAAAAGGAGATTCAAAATATTGTTTTCCTCTCGTGTTCAAAGGCCGCCTCCCCGATAGAGAGGAAACCAAAATTATTATTTGGGTGTATTCCCAGATTTCTTAGAAATAAATACAGGAGGCAAGCACAGCTCCCACCATGGTGTGTGTGTGTGTGTGTGTGTGTGTGTGTGGGTTGCCAGTGCAAAGACTACCACCGCTTGTGGTTTCGGTTCCAAACACACGAAGTGAACTCTGCCATAAAGGTTATATGCGAATTCTGCCAGCAGGAAGTTGAATGCCATCTTCCTTCCCTTTCTCCCCCCCACCCCAACCCCAACGGTTCATGACACAAAAATTAAAGATTGCACTGTCATTCGGGCTTCATGGGAGGGACACAAGTGATATTTCCTAGTCTGGGTTCATGGTCATCTGCAGGACAAATAGTTTCTCCACGGAGGAGCAGACTCCTTGGTGACTTCTGAACCCCTTCTGCACAGAACAACGCTACATATCCACCTAACATTTTTTTTTTTTTGCCGTAAGTAATTAGGGAGTTCAGATTTCCATTCTCCCGCCGCGTCGCTGGGAATATATGTCAAAGACAACATTTTAAGTGCATCTACAGAAGTCTGCGGTACTTTCGTTTTGTCTGGCGTGGAGCACGGAGCTCCCGTGCGCTGTCCCGGGCGGCAACAGTTATCCTTCGCTGTCATTTCTCCACCAGGCCCTCGGGGACCATGGGTTCCTTTTTCATTTTTGCAAGGAGAGAAATTCAAACCAATGAAAATACAGAAGGGCTTCCGCGGAGCTGGGACCGGTTCTCTTTCATCACTCTTCTTCGCAGGAATTTCCAGGCACGTAGGGAAGTTTTTGTAAAATTTAGCCCACTGGCTGGCTGTCAGCAAGTGAGATGTGTACAGACTCATTTCAGTTCCGAGAAGCCCTCAGAGCGTCGGCGGAGAAAGGGGGATGTGGCGACGGGACAAGGAATCTTGCTTTTAGGTAACAGTGTCCTTACACTGAATGATCTAAAAATCATATACAGTCAGTGGTCATCTGCTCAAACCTGTGCGTAGAGTGGGTGTCTGAGGGAACTGGACTGATAGGTCGATGGGCTCTCTGAATTTCCAGCCCAAAAGCCACCCTGGGATTTTTACATAAATCAGAGAAGCTACAGTCCAAGTGGATCTAAGGAGGTCGTTTTGAAAAAGTAAAATAAAAATGGCCAGACTGGATCAGGTGAACTGAGAGAGAGAGAGAAAAAAAAAACACACAAAAAAACCAATGCCAGCGAAGTCCCTGCCCCTGTGCAGCGCCTCTGCCTTCCCAAGGAGTTAATTAAATTAAGATGCTTTCCGCACCGGGGTTTTCTGTTTCTCTCCGCTCCTTCGCTCCCCCTGCGAGAGTAATTTTCTCCTTCAGCTCAGGATTGCAGTTTGTGCAGCAGAGAAACGAGCTGTCTGAGGCCGGTTTCGCTCCGGAAACGCCAGCCCTCTTTTGTTCTCTGCTAACAGGTAGGCGGACAGATCCAGCGCTGCCTCCCCAGACACCCCTTTCTCCCTCCTTCTTTCTACACCTCCTTCTTCTGCTAGTTCTTGGAGAATCCGAGCGTTTTAGACACGGGGGAGGGGGGGGGAGAATTTGCCTTCCGCCCCCTCCTCCAGCATTGGGAGGGTGGGAGGATAATCCAAAGGCCAACGCAAGGTGGGCGAATTACCTAGGACTGCAGTAGGACTTCCCTTTGGAAGCGGGTGAGCCGGACGGATGGGCACCGTGCGTCCTGGCCCGTCCGTCCGCGCCGCGGCTGCCCCGGGATGGCTGGATGTGGGCTCCTCTGGCACCCAGGGGCAACGGGGTTTTGTCTTTTTGTTTTTTGTTTGTTTGTTTTTATCTCAGGGCATGCTTGATCAGCTTTTATAGGAACCCTCAATGAACGCTTCGATCAAATGCAGCCACGCAACACTATCAACAGCACATCCAAGTGCGTGCCCATGGGTGTTCGCTGGGAATGACATGCCTCGGACCAGACAAGTGAGACACACTGCCCAGGATTGCATCCATAGGACCGTCCATAGGCTCTCTCTCTTTCTCACACTTTGGACCGGCCTGGCCCGAGCATCAGCGCCCCCTTGCACGCCCCGCACCCTTCCTTTTCTCGGGGAGCCCGCGGTCCCTTCCCGGAGCGGACACTCACCTCCCGCGGGCAGGTCCGGCGGGGCCGCGCCGCTCACACCCGCTCCGGGCAGCGAGGCGCACCGCTTGGGAAGGTCATGGGGTCCGCGCCGGGCGAGCTTCTCTTTCCGCACGGGGTCCCGGCAGCCGCGGACATTCTCTGTTGCATGACGAGCCACACACACACACAAAAAAAACCCCACAAATAAACAAACAAACAAAAAAAGAGTGGATCCTCGCCTCCGTCGGGGTCTGCGGACGTGGAAGGCGTAAAAGGACCCGCGGTGCTCGGAGCCGGCGCTCAGCGCCCAACGCCCGGACCCCGGCGCCCCCGCGAGCCTCCGGCGGACCCCGGCTGCAGTCGGAGCCTGCCCCCGCGCAGGGCCATCACCCTCCGGCAGCAGCGAGCCGAGCGCGCCGAGCTCCGTCCCCGCCCGCGCGCGTCCCTCCCCAGGCTGCTCGCGGCCGGGAGTCCGGCGCTTTAGTAGCGGCCCCGCCTCCCCTCCGGGCGGGCGTCCCGCCGCCGCTGCTGCCGCAGCCCCGCGGCCCCCCCTCCCGCCCCCCGCAGGCCCCGCCCCCGCGCCCGGCGCCCGCGAATGGTCCGCTCTGTTTACTGCTGTTTGGTAGCAACTGCGTCTTAAAGGCGCAGGTCGGCCCGAGGTCTCCCGGGGAGGACCGAAGGTGACTCAGTTCAAAACCCACACGCCAACACACACAGAACCCCTCTCCTTCTGGGGCCGCGTCTCCTTACGGAGTGAGGGACTCAGCAACCGGGCTTCTGCCTCGGGAAGACCCCACGGAGGAACTAAAGGATGCGTTTGTCGTTTTGCTGGGAACTCCCAGCCGAGTTCATGGCCACATCCTGGCACGTTCAGCATAACCATCATAGGGTAAAATCAACCATTTCTAGATTGCATTCTTCAGCATCTAGCACCCTCC